CCAGCATGCTGCTGGGGAATACTGGAAGTTGAAGTCCACATGTCTTCAACTTACCAAGGTTGAGAAACACTACCATACTGCAGTGATTGAGAACTCTTGTTCTAGAGAAACTATACGTCTTTTTAAAACTTGGTTGACAAGGTAATGTTTTAAAAATATATATACTTGTTTGACTGATTCATTCATTCATTTGCCCATGTCACATAGTGACTCTGGGTGGCTTATAGTGGAAAAAACAGTACAAAATATAATATAAAGCACAATAACACACACAGTAGCCAAGAAACCAAACCAGTCTAAACAACACAGTGCGTCACAGGCACTCACTAGCACTTTGACCCCTTCGCCTGGGAACCCAACCAGGTCTTAAAAGCTGGCGGGGTGGGGGCCAATCTAATCTCTTCCTTTTTATCTTGCTGCTTTAAATGATTAAACAAAAATTATGGATTGATTTCTGCAACTATCTACCACCTCAATCCTGATGGATTTGGGACCGTTTCCAAGTACTAAAATACCTTTTAAATAATTAGTAAGGCATTTTGGATTCCACTCAATGGAACCTGCAAATATACTGCAACATCAGAATTTCCTAACTACGTTTAATAAATTATAGTTAATTCATAACGAAAGGTTTTGTGAGCTTGAGACTGCCCAGTCTAAGAAAACCACAATAAAGAATAAATAAAGAATAAACTGCTAGCCTTTCTGGTATCTGGGGACTTCTTATCCTAAAGCTCCTTAGGCTAATTATTTGAAGGCAATGCTTTTCTTAACAAAAGAGGTCTCTCCCAGCCTGGGCTATTAATTCACGGCACTTTGCACTCACTGTGGTAAAAGCATTCCAAAAATGCTCATTTATGCCTGGGGTTGTATGCGCGTGCGATCTTAATACTGAAAATAAAAAATACGGCCTCTATACGCCCCACATAATTTATGTGATGCGCAGAATGTCCTCTTAGCCCTTGCACTCAGTCTGTGACATAAATCTCTTTATTCATGTTCACGTTTAATAAATGGGCAGTTTCCACAGAGCCGACGCTCCCCTACCTTGACCTGCAGAGGAGATACTCACCAGCAGAGGGCGGTGACGGCCAGCCTCTTGGCCTTGTCGAACTGAAACTTCCACAGCGGGAGAAGGGTCCCCATGTTATCCCTGTATTCATCCGAGGCATCTTCGAAGTACTTGAAATCTAGCCAAAGCAAACCACCCCGTTCAGCACCGGCTTCGCGAGCACGCCCAGCTTGGTGTTCTCAGCGCCAATCTTTTTTTTCAGCTTTGGGTTCTCACGGCAGTGGTTCTAGGCAAGAGGTTAAATCCTTTGCTCCCCTGGGTTTTGAGTAATTTCAGAAGTACGATCGCTTCTCGTTTTAAATGACGTCGTTCCTTCCGTTCTCAATCTGCTGGGTTATGACGCTGTTCTAAAGTTATAATATTCTAACATCTTAAGATGTGAGCCTCCTTGGAAGCTCTCTGGGGGGTTAAAAGACTTTGAATCAATATACTATAATAAATAGAATATACTATCATTAAGCAAGAAATTGGGGTTGGGGGGAGTGACACATGAAGGTGCTGCTTTTCTATGGCAGTGCCAATGCTGTGGAACGACCTCGGGGCGGGGGGGGGGGGGAGGTGAGGCCGGCTCTGCTGTTGTTTTAGAAGTAGTTGAAGACCAAATTGCTCTGAAAGACTTTCCCCTGAGTTTAAAACTGATGCCATCTTTTCCTTCCTTTTCCCTTTTTATTGCTTTGTTTCTGTTGTTTTGGGACTGATGGTTGTTTTACGGTTGTTATTTGTTAGGCTTAAAACATTTCTATATTCTATGTAAGCCACCAAGAGTCATTTTGACTGCAGTGGATAGAAAGTGTTTAATAAATAAACAGATAAATAAATAAAACCATATATATACTGTGTGTGTGTGTATAATATTCTTGTATTAGTTTGTTCCTTCCAACATTATGCTCTACTCGAGTTCTAGATTAAACTTTGAACATTTCCAATATTCAGTATTAGTCTGGCGCAGTTTTCCATTTATTTTCTTTTTTGCACTCCCTCCCAAGAGGTTACTATCGAGTGCAAACATATAAACATTTCCATTTCATTAAATCACAGGGCAATAATAATCGTAAAAATATAGTAGCAATGTATTAGATTCACAGGATGCCCAACTTCTAGGGACACTGGGCAGTTTGCAAACTGTTTAAAATATTAAAAAGACGGCAAGAATGACAGAACTGGGTGGGACAAAGAGAAACAAGCCACACGATCTAAAGGGGGCTTAGGTCCCCCTCGCCAAAGGCCTGGGTGAAAAAGGAGCACATCCCAACTTATATTTTACCAGGCGTGGATATTAAGGAAAAGGAGCCCGGATTGGAAGCGGGTGCACGGGCTCATCTGGGCCAAGGAAGGAACCGAGAAACAGGAGCGCCTCTCCCGCGCATGAGCCCCGGCCAGCCTTCTGGCTTCTCACCTTGGGCAATATCATCAAAGGTGTTCTGATTGACCATCCGCTCCACAATCTTCACTGCCTTTGCCACTTTGTTGATGTCATCACTCTGTGGAAAAACGGAATGAGACTATTTGAAAGCAAAGCACGTGGGCCCTCTTAGGAGGAAAGGTGGTGAGTAGCCCCTGCCTAGTGTTTTGCGTCAAGACGCTGGGCAGGACACCGAACGGTACCCTGCGCCCCCCCCACCCCCAAGTTAAACAAGTTAGTAACAAGCATCCTTGTTAAGCTGGAAGGGAGCATCCTTATGCATTTGTCATCTGGGAAACGGGCGTTTCATAACCAACAAGGACGCTGAGATTTCCAGTATGCCTCCTGGCCCCCAAAGAATGAGACCTTCTGCCCAGGCAAGAACAGGGAAGCTGTTTCAGCCTGAGGACTGAGCTGACTTTAGGCAAAGGCGCTGGAGGCTGCTTGTCAGCAGCCCCAACCCTGGGAGGTGCGGACCACAGCCTGGGAAAGAAAGGAGGAGGTGGCCCCCCAAGGCACCGGAGGTCTAGGTGGAGAAGCAAGTGGGCTGGAGGTATCCCAGGCCTCCCCTGAGGCAGAATCACAACGCTTTCTCTTTCTGTAGGCACTCAGTCCAACAACAGAGTTTTCTTGGACAGTGATATTGGTAGGCTGATATTTTAAACATAATCTCTCTCCTAAAATAGTTGCTGTTGAGACCAGTGATGGAGACAAAAACTGGTTGGGTTTGCACTTGAAACCAAATGAGTTTGCAACTCACAGGATCAGAATGCAGCTGCCTTCTGCTGGACCCACATCTCCTGATGCCAACCGAGGGCATGCAGTTGGGCTCTTCGTCAGAGTGTTCCTCCAGTCCTTGGCTCAGCAAAAAATTAGGCCAGCATTATTTGCCCGGCCCCAATGACCAAGCTCTAATTTGTCTCCCTAACAAGGTTCACAAGGTGTCACGTCCTTACAGTTTTCCCGCAGGACAATTTAAGGGAAGCGAATGTTGGCAATCCCTGCTTTGTTTCTCTTCCACTTAGCATCACCAGCTGGTAGTAAAAACACCACCCATCAGTCAAGGGAGGTGGGCTGCTCTCAGGCAAGGATGGGTGGATGCTTGGACAGAAGCCTTTAAGATGGTTAAGTCAGAAGACATGATGAAAATTCCTTAATCTCACAACACATGGACAGACTTAACCATAGTTTCAACTGGGAAACTATCAGCATTTTAGACCAAGCTAAATCCAAAAATGCAAGCGAATTCTTGGAAGCCGGGTATTCAGACAAGGCAGCAATTAACAGACACATAGAGATTAACCACATCTACATACTATTCAAAAGAGACAAAAGACCAGAAGATCGCCTCACTGCAATCATCACCCAGATAAGCAAAGGTTACCACCAGGCACACAATCAAGCAGTGAACATATGCTAATCAAGGAACTACCAGAGGAGCAAAACAGAGCCCCCACCCCCACCAGCACGGGCAAGGCGGGCC